TGTAGTTTGAAGTCAGAAGTCAACTGCCGGTTTGATAGACTTTTTTGCCGTATGAGTATACGTTGTCCAGGGTGCACCACGTGGATGTAAGTCTATCGTGCACTCCTTTCACTCAACGCCAACAGTGCGCCACTGCCCGTAGGCAAGCAAGCACCACCACTGACATTAATAATAATGCGTGGACGCAGTCGCAGCCACCGCATCATTATTATGTTATATACAACTTTAAACACCACGAGAATAAACCTACTTCATTTTAGAACAAAGTATTCAGATACGTAAAGTCTTCCTTAATAAATGCATGTGAGAAGACACATGAAAAGGTGGAACAATCTAAAGAAGACTGAAAGAGGTGTATAGAAGGGAGAGCGTATACATATGCGTTAGGAATCGGGAGGGACTCGGTCATTAATTGGATAAGGAATGTTCCCACACATCTGGAATACAATTGCACTTTGAATACTATTAGGGCAATGATCTCTCCTGTAAGGTATAAATTGTATCTAGGATTGTTTTTCTTCTTTGTTTAGGTTGAGAACAGTATTTTTCAATCATGTGAAAAATTACTAAATATTGCTATTAGAGTTAATTGACTGCATGAACGCTTTATTCTTGTCTTTGCAATAGGGTGAGGTTGGATTGGAGATGTATATCGTGAAGCAAGGCTATGTTGAAGTTGTCGGAGGCCCAAATAACTCTACTGTGTTCGTCACATTAAAAGAGGGGAGTGTCTTTGGGGAAATAAGGTGGGTGATTCGTAAGTTGTACAAGTTCTTATTTTTATTGGTGAAGCCTGAAATTCTGATCACAATGGAGGAAAGTTCTCTTCAACTCTTGTTGAAGTTAGTGAAATGGCAAAACGAAGATATTTTGATTAAGCCTCAGTCTTGTGGCAAGCAGTACTATAAATCTCTTCAGTGGTACGCATCAATGGAGATCTCTATTTCTTTGCCCTTGTAGTGCCCTAAGTTCGCACTTCTTTGTTTAAACTCATGATTTGCATGTAATTCAGATCTAACTAATGCTCCATTTGCGTGGATTGTTGTGTTATTCTGATTTATTTGCATCATTTTGCGGTTAAAAACAGTTAAAGTAGATTGCTTATATTATCAATATTAAAAAACAAGGAAATTTTATTGAACCGAAAAGTTTATTACTTTTTGGCTTTGCTACACGACTGATTGAAGCCATATATAAGAACAAGTTTATTGCAATACGAATTTTGAGGGCTTCTAGAATCTTGAGGAATTAAAAGAGAACTTGCTTAATTCTGTTTAATACCCTTGACAGTCTGTTAGCTATAAAAGGAAAGAATGTTAGAACAGCGACAGTTCGTTCAAAGGGTTATTCAACTCTCTTTCGACTTACCAAATCTGACTTTGAAGAGGCCATGAAGAACTACCCCATTGCCTACAAGCTCCTCAAACGCAAAGCTCAGTAGGTTCGCTGATAGAATAATCACATTACACCTTTAATAGAAAAATGCTACAAAAGGATAAGAAGAAGGAGGAGGAGGAGGTGATGAAGAAAAAGGAGAAAGGGGAGTTGGGGAGAACTGGAAGCATGGAAATTATTCCCGATCACCGGAGACTGTCTAGTATGCCTATGGTTGTTGATCAGGTAACAAAAATGGCAGTAATCACAAAATTCAATAATATTTCAGATTACCGCGTTGTCTGAATTCTGTTTTAGGTCATAGAACGCAAGAGGAGTATGCTGCTTCAGAAGGCGATTAAATTAAAAGTAAGCAAAATTTTGTATAATAATCTGAGTTTCCGTGTAATGCATCAAGTAATTAAAGTCTCTTAAGTAAGGCATGCCAAAATTGAATGAAATAAGCAATGAAGAAGCGTTTTGCAAATTAACACTTCTATTTCCATTTATCTTTAGATTGATCTCGATGATGAGACCACCTTGAACCTGGACCTCAGCAGTTTACCGGATGAAAGTGAGGCCGACATAGAATTTCCAGAAGGAGTGGAATTTAGCGATGAGAGCTGATTCGTTCAGTATTAACCTAACCAAGCATTTGCATTTAATGCTGTCTGACAATTAGGCATGTGAAATGACCGAAATGCATTTTTGGATAATAGACGTAGTTAGTAAACAAAGTATTTCTGTTGTGCATAGTAATGGAAAAAGAGAAATAGTAATTATACAATTTAATTACGCTAGTGTATGTACTTTGCAAAAGTAAACAATTTCAAAATAAAAACGGGAAAAGTTGGGTAACAATGGCATGCTAGATACCGCCAATATTGGCCTTAAGGAAACTGAGGATATATTGGAGCTGTTTTAAGACTATCACATCATGGAAGATCCGATTCTTTTCACCTCGGTTCAGATCTAAAGATATTAAAAAAGGTAGACGAAACGCATGGACCCGTAGACAGACTAGTACCTTAAAATGTACATATCCGGAAATGATTGGTTTCAGGCGAGTGCTTAAGGTGGTCTGATCAACTTTGATGAACCAGCCACGGGTTTAAATAGATGCATTCATTAGCATTAATTAGGTCATGCTGTATTTATTCTCATAAAATCCGTTGACGACATTCTCTTTGAGTTGTTAACCTTTATAAACACTGAGATCTTATCTGCAATCCCAAGTAGAGCACATATAGTTGCGTGCAAGAGATATTCAGTATATTTGTTCAATAACAGATTTCATGCACTTGTATTAATATGATCAAACAATATGATAGATTCTTTCCTCAATGGATAAATATAGGCAATTGTTAGAAGTAATAAAGGTTTTTCAATGAGCACACAGCCCATTTTGTCTTCAATACCGCTTCAACCATATTCCTCGTTTCTACACACAACCTTGTTGGGGTTAGGCAAATAAGAATATTTGTTAATAGAATGTACTTGGTGTATTAAAAAAATTGTATTGAATCCCACCACAATGTTGCCTCGTAAGGGAGAAAATGGGACATCGTTGTCTGGGGACCTCAAACTTTAATGGAATTAGCTCATTGCCAACAAAAGGTCTAAATCGCACAACTCCTGACCTTATCTCCAACGTGCCATGAAACCACCGACTGCGTATTTCAATTCTACTTTACATTATGCATTTTTTGAAGTAAAGCACAAATGCCCAGATGGAATCTAGTCTCCTCTTTTGTTTCGAGAATGATATCGGTGGGAGACGGACAAAGTAAAGCACATGGAAAACGCTACGAGAGTCACCTTGTGTCAGGATTTGGGTTTAACCATTTAGGAGAACGCAGGAGATACCTCTATTTCCAATACGCTTCAATTTTATACGAATGCTTTTATTTTTAAATGAATAATATAATTAACAACGTAACTTAAACTACATTAATAGTTCATATAATACGATCCTATTTACTCATTTTACTGGTAATTATACAAGTTATTTCCCCTCAGAGTACATTAAGATGTGATCCAGTCATGTAACAAGTGCTTTTAAAGCTTTTGTTCATGAAGTTCGTTTTCTTGCTCATCAATGCTGACCGAAATGAAAAACTTAGCAGTAAGGTATTAATGTCTCATCAGATCCTACTTTCACCTTTGAAAACTTGATCATTGACAAAGAAAGTGTCAAACTTTTAATGAAAGTGCCGACAGGATCTGATTTTGAAGAGAAACTCACGTTCTATCACATCCCTATCTTTGACCAGAACTAACAAATGAGTTGTAGGGCACCTGCCTCGTTGGCTCTGAATAAACTCATCACCCATTCACCGCATCATGATTCAAAGGAAATCATCCATTTACTAAATAGGATAGCCAACATTCCAAAATACTAATTTCATGAATCATCCTCCGGTACATGATGTTCAGTGATTATTAACAAGTTTTAAGGTCAATAAGGGTCAACTAGCGTATTTGGAACATGAATTGACCAGGGAGATCTGTACCAGGAAGATATGCTGAAAACTGCAGCTCTGAAAAGAAAAATTCCCATAACATAAGGTTTTAACAAGATAGCTTGATTTGAAAAAGTAATTTTAATGTTGTTACGCGGTATGACATTAGGCAGAAGCCTTTCAAAACGGAAAGATTAAATTAAATATATGCTAGGCACAATTCCGCTCTATTAACTGTCAAATACATTTTCATAAGAATTAAAAGCAAGATAAACAGATTAGTACGGGCAGAATGAACCGGGAACCCAATGCTTACTCGACTTACCATTTCCTGATGCATTTCGGCCCACGTTTTGTCGTCCACGATAAACACCAATTTAGACCACGAGTTCTAATTCTGTCGATAGCCAGCAACAATTACGAGCCTACTTAGCAAAGCGCCCTCCAACTCCCAACAATGGCTAGGAGTGGTAGCACTAAGTCTTTTAGGTAGGAGACTTGAATTTTGTTAGACTCTTCCTTAGCCAGGCTCAATCATTGCGATTGGCCACTCCGTCCGCTGGGTATTAAACTAATGGCTCTGAAATTCTATACGAGCACTTCAACTACTGTGCCAGCAGATAAAATACTGAATTACAAGATATCATTTAAGCATCAGTGCAAACCAAATGGATCCAGGTCAAGCTTCATTCGTCATAATAATAAATAACCATCATAATAAAATATTATTAACGTGTAAATATTAATACAAAAGGCAATTTTATTGTCATTTACATTTCACAATGAAATTCGAAATAGAAACCCTCAATCAGGAATGGGATGCGGATAACTTTGCTTTGATAGCTGAGGCCAAATCAGCGAAGACTTTCATGACGCCCTCCAAATCACTGGAAGCATCGCCATCTTCTATAAATAAGTATAGAGAAATATAAGTACTGAATTGAAATATTAGTCTGTATCGTATATCAATCAAATTTGTTTGATAATTAGTAAAAAAGAACAAGTTAAAATCCAAAACAGTCGATATAAGTTAGCGTGAATATTGGAATATAAAACACGAAAAATCAACTGGCTACTTATAATCATTATAGTAGTTGATCAAAGAATTAACTAGTTGTAATTCGGAGAGTGAAAGTACTTAAAATAACCCACAAAGGATTTTAAAGAAAACATAAGACGATTTTACTCAATAATTAAAGATAAAAGAAGATAAATTTGTCATCAGAACATCACAAAATTCTAATTGTGAAAAAAAAACAAATTTCGCTAAGACAGCAATTATAATTCCCATTATGCATAAGAAATTCAACAGAAATAAAACTCAAAAAGGACTTGAGATTAAGAGAATTAGCTTAATGAAAACATAAAGAATGTCCAGGTTTATATTTCAATCAGCAGACAACAGATGAATCTCACTAACCACTGCTCAAGGGGCACCGCCCTTCATCGAGACACCGCGTTAATCTCGAATCAAGTGGAATTCTGGCCATGACCTCCAATCCACACAATGAATCTGCACCTCCGGTTGTTTTGGGAAATATTTCTGTAAAGACTTCGCACTTCGGACATCTAACACCAGTCATATTCTCTACAATGCCTATAATTGGAAGACCAATTTTTTCGCAGAAGTTGATTTCCTTCCGCACGTCACAAAGGGCAACTTCTTGTGGAGTTGTGACTATGATAGCAGCCACAGGACACCCTGCTGCTTTTACATATGGGACTGAAGAGAGATGCTCATCTGATGTTCCTGGAGGAGTGTCGATTAGCAAAAAGTCCAGGGGAGTTGACATTTCATCATCTTCACTCCAAGAGACCTTGCGAAGGAGGTCACTAATAAAGGCATTTTTGCGAGGTCCCCGCCAAATAAGAGCCTGATCTGGGGAAGTCAGAAAGCCAACAGACATCAAGGCCAAATTATCCGTCACATAAACCGGCGACCAACCGGCTGCGCTTTGATGTACCTCTGAATCTAAACAACCCATGAGACAAGGAATTGATGGACCGCAAATATCTAAATCTAAAAGTCCAATTTGATCATGCCCTTGGTTTAGCCTAGACAAAGCCCAAGCCAAGCAGACCGAGACAGAACTTTTACCAACTCCACCTTTACCGGAGAGAATGAAAATACATTGCTTAACGCGACCAAGTCTCTTACGCAGCTCTGCGACAACTTCTGGCTCGCGTTCCTCTAGAGAGAGTTTAGCTGCTCCGCTTGCACAGATAGCTTGATTCGGACATCCGGTGCATGAATCTGCTTTACCAGCAGACGCGCTTTGTGGACCGGGACAATGGAGAGGAACGTTGTCCGGTAATGATGAGTCATTTGACTTCATCTGTAGCAACCTAAAAATTTCTGAAAGACTAAAATTATTTGTGATATACACAGCGAACCAGTGGTTGTCTAGAAAACCCAATAATTATAGTTTGATCCGATGGACAAATATAAAACGCGACAGAATAGAAGATAGACACATCATTTGCACATTTACACCAATCAGAACAGCACATTCGTTTCTATTAATTAATATTGAAACAGAGTTATTTCTATGCTCCCATTTCTTGACAATTGGTATTTAATGATTCAAACTTGTCTAAGTTTTAATCTCTATATGTTTCAAAATAATTCAACCTTTACATAAAGAAACTGTGTATATAAATATATGTATCTATATATATAGTCAACATTTTATTTTTTTGCTCACTATATCTTTAATAAGATTAAAGACAAATACAATTCTGAATTATACAATATGTATGCCAGTTTTTCCAAATTAAATTTATAATTCAGATTTGATTATTAAATTTAAGAAATCAAATAAATGCAAATATGTATATAGCTTTTACTGTGACATTCCTTATTTCGCATCAAAAACTCAAATAAATTTATAATTTCGTTCAGCTGCTGTTGGGACAAGGTCATTTCAGATAGCATACAGGATGTCAAACCTTGGAAAGTTTATTGACGGTGCAAATACACTATTTAACCGAGCTAGCCAGGTAAATTAATTTTTAACCGCGTAATTTTTAGTTTACAAATGAAATTCGAGGAGCTTCTATCAAGACTCCATACCCTGATGATATAGTTATTGACTTTGATACCGCTGACAAATTGAAGAAAGTATGCGAGAAACTTCATTCTGGAGTCACAGCTTGGCTGAATCCGAACCCTGGTAATTTTTTTGTACTATGAGGTTCTATATTGGTTTTAGCTGACCGTATGCAGGATATGGTTTTGGAGAAATTTGATGCAAAGAAGCAACCTAAGTTAACTGCTGCCGAATTGCTAGGAAAACTGGAGCAAGATCTTGCTACTGAAATGTCTCAGGAGTCTTCTAGTGGGTGGATATGACTTATTTTATGAATTTTTTTGTAGGTGATCAATTCGGGCTTATGCTATCTCAACATGGTCAAATGCAGGCTGAAATTGGTGCCGCTGAACGGCAACTCATTATGGAGATTCAAAAAGGTTTCCTTTCAACTGCTAAACACTATCTTGATGTTGTTTATCCTTCCATCAATGTATGTTTGAATATGCTAACGATGATTTCGTGCCAACATTAGACTCAACGAAGAAGTCTTGAAGTTACTCGCTTGGATTATGATGCTTCGAAACAAAAGAAGGATTCTTGCACTGCTGAGGATAAAATTAGACCAGTACTTATTTCTTGCTTATTTCATCTCAATAAATTTGAGGAAGTATTAATTTTTCACAATTTTAGTTGATTGCTGCGTTTGAAATGAACCAAACCAAGTACAATGAGGCCCTTCAAAAGACTAGGGAAGTCAATGCTCAACTCAAGATGATTCAAGTAAGTTTTGTGCTTTTTCCCTATAGGTCTGCTACTCTGTTTGCTTGGAAAATTCTAATGAGTAATAAGGGAAAGTTGTTTTAGTGTTAGATTGGAAAATTAGAAAAGTAAAATTGTGAAAATCAGGAGGACTTGGCTTTTTTTCGTTATTTTTTTTTCACACTTAGACATGATAATCAATATAGTGAGCATAAACAAAGCTTATCTAATTCATTAGATTCCCTCTTCGTGAACTACTGAAGCATATTTCGGATTTCAGAATCTACTCTTTGGTTTCATTTGATTCTCCAGAGCCGATTAATTAGTGTTGTTGCATTGAGTGTTTAGTGTCTGTCGACAGCCAAAATGTTACTGGATTAGAATTTTTAATTTTGAAATTACAGCTCAGCATGTGTTTTATTAGTGGTGTCAGTGAAAATTTGAGCATTGAGTCGCCAAGAAATCTGACGTGTGAATTTATGTGATTGCATTTAGGGTGATTTGCGTGAGAACTTCAAGGCAATGGCTTCTGCTCAAGTGCGCTATTACACTGCTTGTCATGAACAATCACGAAAACTCACGGCAAAATGGGATAGTTCAAACCTTCGTGCCTGAAACACTTCACCGTTTTCCATTAGTCTGCTATGCTATTTCCTTCCCTTTTTCTTTATGCAGATGTTTTGACATTTAATGAAACATTTTCTAACTTCTCAACTTATTACCAATATTGATTGTGCCTTACTATATTATGAGCGGTTTTGTTTTTGTTCAATAAATGAATCTATTAGCAAACTCTTTCTCGAGAATGGTTTTAGGGACTTAAAAGCCATGGTTTAGCAACTACGCAAATTCTTGATTAGTGTTTAAGGATTTGCCTGGAAGTGGCAAATATTTTAGTAGAAGCAGGGATTTTTTTTCCCACCAATAATCGATGATTCGCTACCCAAGATTTGTGGCTTTGACTTCCACCCAGGTGCACCAAAAATAGCTGATTTTGTCTTCTACTAAGACCACGTGTTGTCTATTTCAATATTGAACCTCTAGGATGCAGTGAGGCAATGACGTTTGAAGATGAAGCATTGTGATTGCTTAATCCAAATGTTCGCATCCCTGGGGTATATTAGCCACGTTCGATACGAGCCCTATCAATTGAAGTTGTGGTATTATTTAAGATGTTGATGTGGAATACTAATTCACGGCATGATTTGCATAAGACAGTTGTTGTTAATCTCTTCATGACAACACCACGCAAATCTTATAATATCGACAAATCCTTTGCAGCGAAGAGATTTTTGTTCATTGTTGCAGTGGCGCCGTGCACGTCTCTTACTTCGCAAGTCATCTATCCATTGACTAGAATGCTAAATACACTCACTAATGCCAATAGGTATGCTTACAGGAGGGTGTGCTTAGAATTAGTAAGACTGTACTCAAAAGGAGTGCTGGAAAACACTATCCTTTACTGGACTTGTATACGATCCAGCCGGTTCTGGCATACGAAGGGTGGGGATTACTTATTCACGGGTATTTCAGTAGTAACTTGGAGACAGTAACTGATAAGGATTGCCAGAATAATTTCATACTAATTTATGGATATGCCGTTACTAATGGAGGATGGTGACAGGTGCCGGTTATATTCAAGACATTGACGGTAGTAATCGGCTTTAATGTTGCAATGTGGTGATTGGTTTACTTATTTCCAGCTGTTCACGGTAAAATTCTGCCAATGCTGTATCTCTATGTATTTTGTAAATAAAGGTCGAAGCTGTTGACTATCTTTCTCGTTTATCAAGATCGTGTTTCTGATTGAGACTCTAGAACCAGGGTCCATCAGTAATAGGTACAGTTGCCACAAAATATCCCAAAATCAGATAATTTATTTTGAATAACAAAATTTTCGGTTCCAATGTATATTATTTTCCTTCGAATGTTTTGCGAAGGAATATTTCATCGACAAAAAGGGCAAAGTATGCAAGAAGACTATATTTGTACTTCCGTGCGTTATGACCTCTCAAGTCCGATTTGAAGAGGAAAACTTGTCATATATATGGTCAAGCCATAAACTACAGTAAATAGAGGTTTATTTAAATCAAATGGCAGGCTTTATGATAGTTATCATTAGCCCTTTAGTTGACTTCAGGCTTCACAGAGGGAGAGGAACATCAAATCGAAA